CCAACCAGTTTGGTAAGATCTCTTTCTTCCGCCGGGCCCGGTGAAATCTTCGATTTTCGGGCCCGAGACAGCGCGACGCCCTCGCGCGGAATTCCTAGACCGGCGTCCTCCTATTTGGCCTCGGCCATTCCGGGACCAGTCCGTCTCGACGAAGCGACGGCGGACCCGGGCGACGAACGGGAACAAAGAGTTTCAGGAACTTTCTTTCTTCCGATCCGCGGATCCTCGAGCCGCCCCCCCCCCCGGTGCTTTCTAATTCGGTGAGCGGCACCGCGGAAAGAGGAAACGTAGATAACGACTAATGGGTTTCTAAAACATTGCTTTGGCACACGCGCGTCAATCGAGATAATCATTCGTAAACTGCTAATTTTATTATCAACGCTCCTAGGAAACGGTCGCGCCGGTCGCCGTTTCGCGGCCTGTTCCACATCATCGATGCCCGGGACGATTCGGTTTCGTAGAAACCGGGAAAAAGAGTATCGTGTCCCTTGGAGACGGATCTCTGGAACACTCGCGGAGGATCCTCGCGATACTTTCTCCCGGAATCTAAGCTCGAGTGGCGAATATTCTCGACCGTATTCATCGCCTCCCTCGATTTCTCCCGTTTAAGCACTACGGTAATGTCTCCCTAATTGACGCACCGATTGTCCACAAAAATGGACGATTTAGGGAGAAGAGAGACGATTATTCGATCTTTACGATCTTTGCTATATCTCTCTTGTTTTTATAGCTACGAATTATCAACAACATTCCCGTTTCTGCTGCGAGTGCACGAAATTCGCGATCCAGCTTCTGGTTTCTTTTAAGCCGCAACAAAACTGTATCCGAGTTATCGGTGGAAATACGAGCAGATATACTGACCATGCTGGATAGATTTTGCGAAAGGAATCGCGAAAGGAACGAAGTCTTCTAAGCCATAGTTTTGGACGAACTTCGCGAAAGAAATCGTGAAAGAATAGCACGTTGAAGTCTAAATGATTCATCGGAGAGGAAACGAGCGCATAAATTCTCCCTAATTGACGCTCAGATTGTGGACAATGGACGATTTGGGAAAAGGAGATACGATTACAGTAATGTCTCTCTAATTGACGCACAGACTGGCCACAAAAATGGACAATTTTTCATTTTTATAGTCACGAATTGTCAACAACTATAAAAACAAGCTGCAAGGCTCGAATAATCGTATCTCCTCTCCCCAAATTGTCCATTTTTTTTTGCACAATCTGAGCGTCAGTAAGGGAGACATTACTGTACTGTGCCGGATCCTGCGTCTTCTTCGCGTTCGGAATCCAGCAAAATTCCTAATAAAAGATCAACGGTCTTCCGATCGTGGAAAGCTAGCTCTAGGTAGCAGGGGTTGGAAACGGTTACGATATCGGTATCAATTCTTAAAACAGTTGTGGAGGACGGAAAATGTCTCGTAACCAGACTACGGATTTTTATGCGAAATAAAAATTCTCTGCATCATTTGCGAGGTATAGAAAGTAAACAGCAAATTCGTTTCTGCTTTTAAACGTTTTAATGGATTAAGAACGTTGCATTGACGTTTAGGAATACTTCTATTCTTTACAGCGTTAAATTGTAATTGTACAATTTTACTAAAAAAATCCGTAAAGTCTGCAGTTTATTCGAGACAAAAACGCCGATTGTCTCAGCTTGTCGATAATACAAAATATGACAAAAATTTGGCCAAATTGCACACATTTTCGATCTAAGCGTAGAATTCGTGCTCTTAACATCCGAAAGAAATGCAATGAATTTATTACGCGGAATAGAACTCGTGACCAACAATGCTGAAGAAAAAAAGAATCGATACACCTTGCAACTGTTGTGAGATCTTTTCTTCGCAACTGTTTCAGTCCGAACCGATATATGGAACAGTTCGAAACAATTATTTTCGGAATATTTCCAATCCGTGCTGGTTACATTGCCGAAGTATACAGTAATGTCTCTCTAATTGACGCTCAGTTTGGGAAGAGGAGATACGATTATCCGAGCCTTGTGTTTCGTTTTTAGAATTGCGAACTGTCAACAACTATAAAAACGAGCCGCATGGCTCGAACAATCGTATCTCTTCTTCCCAAATTGTCCATTTTTTTTTGCACAATCTGAGCGCCAGTTAGGGAGGCATTACTGTATTTCCAAGGCAAAGAAGAGACGCGCTGCAGGGCTGAACGGCGAGGTCTCGGAGACATCGAGAGAGTCGCTTCGCGATCGGAAGCGAAGGCAGCTCCTGGTCGTCAGCCTAGCTGTCTGGTAGCACGGCAGACGACGGGAGTTAGCGACCCTGACCGTGGAAATCAGAAGAAGAACTCGGAAAGGAAAAGAAACCGGCCGGCAGGATCGTCGGCTGGGAAGGAGGTAGCAAGCAGCCGGCGTAGCTGCAGCGGCGGCAGCATCGGCAGCAGCAACGGCAGCATCAGAAAAGAAGAGAGGACCAGAAGCAAGGAGAATCAAGGGAGAAGGACGCGCTCGGTCGAAAGAAAGAAAAGTAAGAAGGTGAAGAGCCCAGGGTGTGGAGGAAGGGGACGAGATCATTCTCGGAACTCGGGTGACNTGCAACTGTTGTGAGATCTTTTCTTCGCAACTGTTTCAGTCCGAACCGATATATGGAACAGTTCGAAACAATTATTTTCGGAATATTTCCAATCCGTGCTGGTTACATTGCCGAAGTATACAGTAATGTCTCTCTAATTGACGCTCAGTTTGGGAAGAGGAGATACGATTATCCGAGCCTTGTGTTTCGTTTTTAGAATTGCGAACTGTCAACAACTATAAAAACGAGCCGCATGGCTCGAACAATCGTATCTCTTCTTCCCAAATTGTCCATTTTTTTTTGCACAATCTGAGCGCCAGTTAGGGAGGCATTACTGTATTTCCAAGGCAAAGAAGAGACGCGCTGCAGGGCTGAACGGCGAGGTCTCGGAGACATCGAGAGAGTCGCTTCGCGATCGGAAGCGAAGGCAGCTCCTGGTCGTCAGCCTAGCTGTCTGGTAGCACGGCAGACGACGGGAGTTAGCGACCCTGACCGTGGAAATCAGAAGAAGAACTCGGAAAGGAAAAGAAACCGGCCGGCAGGATCGTCGGCTGGGAAGGAGGTAGCAAGCAGCCGGCGTAGCTGCAGCGGCGGCAGCATCGGCAGCAGCAACGGCAGCATCAGAAAAGAAGAGAGGACCAGAAGCAAGGAGAATCAAGGGAGAAGGACGCGCTCGGTCGAAAGAAAGAAAAGTAAGAAGGTGAAGAGCCCAGGGTGTGGAGGAAGGGGACGAGATCATTCTCGGAACTCGGGTGACCTCCCCTGGCGCAACTGGCGAACAGCCGGACCCGACGGGTTAACTGTACAACCACTTATGTACCTCGATGCTATAGGAATGCGACGACGATGCCGTCCCATGAAATAACGCACTACACGCCGCGGCATGACATACCATGTGCTCTCGGGGGCCCTATACGAGAGAGAGCGCGACCTATACCGGTGATCCTGCATCGGAAGGAGGAGCTCTCTCGGATCGCGTCATTCATTCACCTGCTCGGGGGCCACCTCGCCGTCTCCTCTCTGCCAACACCGGGCCCCGCTGATCTATTGTTCCTTGGAAATTCTAACCGTTCGCTCGATCGACGATCCTCCGCGTAACATCGCGGAACACCTCGCTTAATGTCTTCAACGTCGGGTGCCGAGCTTTTTCTGCTCGTCTCGCTCCCCTCTCCTCGTCTCTCTCTCCGCTCTTCCTCTCTCTCTCTCTCTCTCTCTCTCTCTCTCTCTTTTTCTCTGCCCGTCTCGCTCGCTCTATCCACCGTGGTCGCGCGCATTTACCTTCGGAGTATATTCAACTTTTTCGCCGGGTCCGACGTGTTACTTTTTCCTGCCGCCTCCCGCCCCCTCGCTCCCCCCGTGCCCGCTGAATTAAATTCCGTCTATGCGCGTCTCCGTGAATCCTTCTGGCTCGCGGACGAAAGCTAGGTCGTCCGAGACCTTAGTTACCGCATTCCTGCCGCCGTAGCCGATCGTTTTTCCGTCGTTCCCCAAGTTTACCAGGTATCCCGATCGTGTACAGCCATTCATTCGGACCGTCTCTGTTCACGGCGGATCTCTCGGTACCGTTTCCCCGTTGCTCGGCAGAATCTCCGATCGATCGATCGAACGACCCTCGATCGAAAATTCCGAGCGTCTCGGATCATTCTCCGGCCCCTCTCTATCGTCGCCGTGAACGATTTTCGGCGGCCAAAGTTCGTTCGTTTCGCTAGGAACGCTCGTTCCCGCGGCCAGGAGGGAGCCCCGAGAGAGCAGAAAGTCCGGCCGCGATTTAAAAGTCTCGAAAGGGGCCGACCGGTGCAATATGTGTCTTGTCTGCACTCGAGTGTTACGTGTACGTACACGATCGTGTTGGTTCATTCACCTGCTGCGTGGCTCGCTCTCCTGCGTCCCCTCTCCCCCCTCGGCTTCTTTCGTTCAGTCTGTCTGGCTCCCTTCATTATGCTCCGGCGTATTAATCCTTGAACCACGGATCACGATCGCCGATCGCCGCGCGAACTTCGCGCGGAAAACGGACGCGTCTCGTCGCGTTTCCTATGGAAACCGCCGCGGGATCGACGCCGATTTTTCCGCGACGATGGCCGGGCGCGCTCATGAATTAAAACGCCGCGGCGATAAATTGTTCGCGGCCGGAGCCGGCTCCGCCGCGTTAAGCTCCGGAGATCGGTCGTCTAGGAAGCCCCACAGCTCGGCCGGCTCTCTCGCGGCCAGATGGAAAAATCCGGAGAATGTCGAAGCCGTCAACCAGTTTCAAGAACTCACCGCGACCGCGACCGGGACCGGGACCGGGCGCGCGGAGCGTGCAACTTGGCTCGCGCGGACTCACCTTGGTTTTATTCTTATTCTTATCGGTCCCCGGGCTGGTCTAGCCGGCCGCGGTCGTTTTCGTGCCGACGCGGGCAGGCCGGTGCGACGCGTAACTGTAAATTAAGCTAAACGGCGACACCGGCTTCCGCTTTTGTTGCAGAAACCTCGCGATCGGCATCGGCATCCAGAATTTCCCGGAGGGCCTCGCGGTCTCCCTGCCGCTCCAGGCCGCCGGGATCAGCACCTTGAAGAGCTTCTGGTACGGCCAACTGTCCGGCATGGTGGAGCCTATCGCCGGCGTCCTTGGCGCGGTCGGAGTCTCGCTCGCCGAACCCGCGCTGCCTTATGCACTTGCCTTCGCGGCCGGTGCAATGATCTACGTGGTGATCGACGACATTGTCCCGGAAGCGCATTCGAGGTAAGTGGAATCCCGCGTTTTCCATCGAAATTGCGATAATTCGCGACGCTTTTAACCGGCACCGCCGCGCGCCTCACCGTCCCCTCCTCCTCCTCCTCCCCCCTTTGTCCTGTTACGCTCGTTTCTCTTTGTTCCCCGGCTGTCATCCTTCTCCCGTATGAATTTTGCATCGGGAACACCGCGAACTCCGTCGCCGGCTAAGGCCACGAGGAGAGGATGTCTATCGGCGGCGGCGTGCGCGACGTACATATTCGGGAACGATTACGGTACAATGGCGCGTGACGGCACACCGAGGCGGCGTAGTTAGAGCGCGGCGTCGGTAAAACGGACGTGGCGAATTTCTTTCCCAGGGCCCGACGGTCTAGCTGAACAAGCATTGTCATTATAATTGGCTTCTTTTGTATTTCGTGCGATCTAACCGCCCTGCCCGGATACCCGTGCGCGCAGACCCGTGTACACACCGTATGCGTATGCAACGGCGCGACTACTCCTGAGATAGTAGACCGAGGCCCGCTCCCTCGGGAACCCTACCGGGCCCCGGAAAACACAAAAGTGAAAATGGAGATCCCCCCCTGCACCGGTGAACCGTTGCTCGACCTCCAAGACCGGCGCTCCGCACTTCGGCGCGGCTCGCTCTCCTTCCTTCTTTTCTTTTCCTTTCCTTTCCTTTCTTTTCCTTGCCTCGGCTTGTCTTGCCTTGTCTTGCCGGCACCCGTGCGATCTTTTCCAAAAGAGCGCGCGACAAAGACAGACAGACCGATCGAGGGAAGAAACTCTAACAATGCCCGGCGTCGTTCGCTTTGCTTTCTGGTTTAGCGGGCCGGCGACCAAGTTTCTTCGGGGAAAGGCGGAATGCCTTCGATCCACGCGCAGATCCGCTCGCGCGGATAACTTCGAGAGGCTCGCCAGCCTGCCGCGCTGGGTGCAAGTCCCTGCGGGCGCCCAGGGGTGCTAAACCCTCGCGCCCGCTCTGAATGGACCTCGGCTTTCGCGAAACTTCGGATCTAGACGAGGAGCTGCGAAACCAAGCGGGCTCGTCCCCGCCGCCAGGTGTTCTAAGGAGAATAGTAGCGATGTTTATTCATGTGTACAGGGTGTCCCGTGTTTTTTTTTACACGCTGCGGCAGCGTACGTTCTACAAAGGAAAAGCAAGACTGAAACGTTTATGTAACGAAAAGTCCGCGGGCGATGTTCGTTTTCTGTAATTAATTCGTGTCTTGTACGTTGGCCAGCGTTATCATATCTTCTTCGCGTTTCTTATTTTTGCCGTAACTTATCTACGTTTACGGACTTCTTGTTGTTCAACGTTCTAGTCGTCGTTTTTTACTTGCGCGGAACACGCTGACGCGATGTGTACGGAAGAATTCGGGGCATTGCGTGTGTAAACGGGGAAAAACCTTTTTGTTGCACGAAATTTAAGATTTCGAAGCAATTGGACGAGAGCAAAGGAGGGGACTGTCGTGTAAAAGAAATGGAAAGTCGAAGATAATGACGGGGATAGTGAATGTAAATTAATTGGCGATGCGAGAGAAAGACGAAAGAAGACAGTAAATGATAATAATAATAAAAGTAGTAATAGTAACTATAATAATAACAAATGATATCCTTAAATGGACGAAAGAGGACATTATTATGCATACCATAGAGCGGCGATAGAAGATTGCGTGCCTGATGAAAATGGATTCTCATTTACCCAATTAAGGCTCATTTACCCAATTAAGGATTCAATCCCCTGTTCTATAAATCCTCCTTTCAGTGATCTCGGAAAAATGTTTCGAATCCCGCATTAATTTCTCAGCGAACTTGCCCTAGAGCCTCGAACGACTTCGAACTGTAACATCTAAAAATCGTAGACCGGCAGACCGCCGCGAGGGTTCAGCCCTGAAGCCTCTTTGTGATCTCCGACGATGATTTCCACAGGCTGCGAGATCGAAGCCGATATCGAAGTGAGAGAAACGCGAAGGGACAAGAAGGACGAGAGAAAGTTTGCGAGAGATCCGGGAATCGGCAAGTTTTCGTAACGACCGAAGAAAGAGGGGTGGTGGGGCCCGATTCGTGGCCCGGGGAAGGGACTTGCCGGTGTTTCGGAATCGACTTTATCCCGATCGTCGGCGGCTAGTTTCGGAGGCCGCCGGATTCTTAGAAGCCGAGGTCGGTCATTTGCATGGCTCTCTGTGCTCGGTGAAAAGGAATGCCTCTGCCCGCTCTCGAGCCTCGGTGGTATTCCAGTTAAAAGCGATCGCCTACTTTCCTCGGGGACGGGATCTCCCGCGGTCCCGGATAGGGGACGAGTTTGCTTTGGCTTCCGTTCGGTTCGCGAGATAAGTCGTATGCCCCGTCGGTCGGATAATTCGCGGGTACACAGGGACGAAAATTGGTTTCGACGAAGCCGTTTTCCCCCGATCTCTCTCTTTCTCTCCGCGGGTTTCTCTCTCGGATGATCGCGCGACAAAACCCGAGGAGACGAGAGGGATCTTCTCGTGAGCGCGGGCGGTCCCTCGTGGTGCGCGCGACGAGACACGATAATGGCTAATAAAAATACAAATTTCTGAGCCATTCCGAAAGGAGGTATTTACCGCGCGGATATGATTGATGTGGTAGAACGCCCACCGAAACACAACAGCGCATTTCACCGGCCGTTAAAATTGATGGCCGTGTATAATTTACGAAATCAACAAGCCGTGACGTGCAATACCGGGTACCCGCGGCGCGTATGTGTTCGCGTGTACGATCCGAGTGTGTGCTTAATCCCGTACTTGCCTCCGCGAAACCCCCTTTATTTCGCGCCGTACCGATGCCCCCCTATCCTTGCCGAACATTGTTACCGTGTCACGATCCTCGCCGGACAGCCGATCCGAACTTTTCCAGCGCTCTCTTTCCTCCGGCACGGTTTCCCATCGCTTCCTGCTTCGTCGATCGCGCTAATCGACGATCGCCGGATCATCGACCCAGTCCAGAACACCGTCCCCGCCTCCAACCCCTCCCCTCGGATCCATCTCGTCCCGATGGATCGCGTCCTCGATGGAAAGCATGATAGATCCGCGCTCTCGATCCTACGCGTACCCTGTTCCCGCTCGACGAAAAATATTGATCTTGCTTCTCTGATTGCAGTGGGAATGGCAAACTGGCCAGCTGGGCAGCGATCGTCGGTTTCTTGGTAATGATGTCCCTAGACGTGGGACTAGGCTAGGAACCTAGGCGGGGAAGGTGTGTCGATTCCTCGCAACGCGTCAATCAGAGAAAAATTCCTAAACGAAAGTGTCGTTCGCCGCGCGGTGCGTCGCGCGTGCTCCCGCGTTTTCCGATCTCTCGATTCCAGGTGGTCCGACCGGCCCGTGTCGCGTGTGCGCGCCCAGCGAGAAACGTGTTCGCTGGATACGCGCGTTCCCGCGTCATCGAACTATCGAAAAATTGTGTCTTCCATGAATCTAGACTTCGTCGATCCGACGCAGAATGGACAGAGAGAGAGAGAAAGAGAGTAAGAAAGAGTCAATTAGATCAACGAGACGGCAACCTTCGGCAACGCTTTAGACGTTTCTGCGTCGCATTCGTTGCAGCACGCGCCGGCGAATGCAGCGGGGAGGGCCCGGTCGGACATTGGAATCGGTTCTCTCTCAGGGAACAATTGCGCGCACACCGCGCGCGGTTTTCCGTGCGAAAATTCGCGGAGGTCGATGCACGTCGTCCCTCGTGCCGCCGCACAGACACTAACCGCGCTGCACGCGCGCGCGCATCGTCGATAGCCGTAGAGTATTGCAATTCCCGCGGCAGCGTCGAGATAATCGCGTGGTAATTGCGCTCTCGAAGTTTTCCCCCGTCGTCGATTCATCGGAATCGGTAATCGATCGTTCCCCGAACTCCGAACGGCGATGAAACAAACAAGAAGAACCGCGAATGCGACCCAACGCGCGCGCGGCACGTCGTCGCCGCTGAACACGAAAGAAACAGCGAAATCGCGCACGCTCGCTGCGAAAATTCATTCGCCGCGGATCGCGCGCCAGCGGCAGTTTAGCCGCTGGGAATAGCGGCGCTCGTTGAGCTCGTAGAGTTCAATTGTTTGCATTTTAACGGCTGCCCGTCGCGACGATTTTCCCCGGGGAGGATCGTCGGCCGCCGATCCCTCGTACTTTTCCGACTCGAATCTTCCTCGGAATCGGCGAGAAAGAGTCGCCGGAGCGACGTCACGAAGTCGCGGCGGCGTCGCGCGCGCGCGCGCGCCCCGAGCGTGTCGGTTAAATGCACGCAAATTTATCATGTTACACGCACCTTTCGAATCGGCCTGTGATTCGAGAGATTCACGCGACGGACGTTGTCGTGTCCTCGAGTCGCGCGAACGCGCGCATTCGAGGAGTCGCGGCATCTCCTCCGCAACCTGCACGCTCGTTTCCGCGCGGAACTGACCTCTTCTCGCCGCGATCGGGTCGCATCGGGTTCTCGCTCACTTATGCTTTTACTTACCGATTCTCTTACTTACCAATGATTTTAAATACTTACGGTTCGACTGTCGCCCAGCATTACGGAGCCGCCGTCGTTGTAGTGATTGCACGAGGCGAAACGCTTATCGATCGCCCGTTTCGTTGCATTCTCGACGCTGGACACTTAACGTGTAACATATATACATATATATATATATATATACATAGACTGTATTTTCGTATTTTCGTAATTTCTACGCGAAAGGAGTCGCGCGCGTCACGCCGCGCGAGAACGATGGACGCCGGTGTCGAGGAAGCAGCAGCTTTTCGAAGGATCGAAGATCACGAGAACCCGGGTAAGAACGTTCCTAATAATGCCGCGAACGATCCTTTATCGGGCCGCTGCTTCAACGATCACCGTTTCAATCTCGTTGCTGTTCGGGAACTAAGGAAATTCTCCCTTTGGTTTATATTAAACCAGCGCATGTGGAATGCCTGACGTTAACTAAGATCGTTTCACACATTGCGAAACCTTTCTCTGCTAGGAACAGTTTTACCATTTTGTTTGTACGAAGCGCAATAAAATGAGAAAAATCACGTTACGAGACCGGAACAGTTCCTTTGCTCCTCGCCCCAGATCCGGTCCACAGCGGTTCCCGTTTCGCCGCGGATCGACTGACATCGACTTTAAAAGCAGGTCTTCCGGTTCTAGAGGCTCGTTTTCTTTGCTCTATTAGGGCAGTTGTTTCGCGCGGATCACGGTGAATGGTTTCTGCGGTCTCGTACACGTATTTGGCAATGTTTCAAACGTGCGGGCAATTTTGTTCATGCAAAAATAGAGCGATTATTGTGGCCGCTGCGTATCCTTACGTAACGTCCTTCCAAGGAAATGTTGCCTCGCCACATGGTTTCGGTCGTTCTCTCTGAAACGAGTATTCTTAATTATTATGGCGACAGTCATGGCGCCAACAAGAGAGAAGTAAAAATCTTGACAAACGAAAAACTGTCGGCGCTTTAGATCGACGGTTCTTTTTTTAGCGTTTTTCTGTGCCGAGCGTATAAACGAAGATCATGAACATTAATATCTTTTTTTGCAGTTCTCGTTTCACGCGGTAACTGTATCAACACTGATTAAAAAGATTCATCATATAAGTGGCCGGTAGCTGCCGCGATAATCGCAATTTCCGTCATGACAAAAATCGCCTCGCGGCTCTTGAAACATCGCCAAATACGCGCGGAAAACCGATAGAAGCACACACGATCCAGTGATCCAACGAAACGAACTCCCTACGAGAATGTAAATTAAATACCCCGCTGGACCAAGAAAGAACACCCTCTGGAACCCGAGGGCAGCCAAAATCGATGTTCTCGATCGCGAGCATCGATCGAGGCGAGTTTCGCAAATCGGGTAAGATAATTGGGAAGCGGATGCGCAGGGATCGCGAGGGTGAGGCCCCGGCCGATATAGTTAGCCAAGTTTTCCATAAGGTAAGATTCGGTGCAACGAGTGTGCAGTATCGGCGCAACCGACGACGCAACCCCTCGTCTCGCGTCTCGCGGCGAAGTTGCATAACCCAAAGAGAGTCGAGGCATGAATGGAGCCGAGCGAGAAGGACGGCTACACCTCTCGGTTTCCCGGTGCAACGAGTCGACCCGAATCTGGTGGGGGATGTCGGCCGAGGGGGAAAGAGGGAGAGAGAGAGAGGAGAGAGAGAGCGAGCGAGAGATGCGTCTCGGTATCCGCGGCCGGGGAACGGAGACGGAGTGCAACGCCGGAATGAACGGACGACAAGGAGAAGAGAGAAAGAGAGCCGCGGACGGAGGAAGGAGGAGAACGAATCATACACCGTACAGAAATGACGCAGTGCTCGACAGAATGCAACGAGCGAGCGTGCAGCGGGTGCGACGAGGAGAGGCGCCGGAGAGAACTGCAGCCGGGACGAGAGGCAGGCAGGGAAACAGAAGGAGGGAGCGAGAGGAAGAGAGAGAGAGAGAGAGAGAGAAGAGAGGCTGGCGAACATTCCTGTGGAACAGAGAGACCGGAGAGTTTCCTTCCTCGCCGTCGGACCAACGGGGACGGGAACTATCTGGTGTCGTGCGGATAGAGGAAGACGGTGCATCGAACCGTAATGCAGAAAAATACAAATATCCCTCTCTCGAGAAGGAAGGTCGCCGACGAACGGGTAGAACAAAGACGGTTTCCGATGCATTTCGATGCAGTCTCGCGATCGGGAGGGCCGCACGCCGGATCGAAAGTGTTGGCCGACGGTGGCAAAAGGCGACGACCAGGGTCCGGAGGGGGCGGAAAGTCCGGCCGACGACGACGAGGGGGTGGGGGGAAGAGAGGAAAGAGAGACAGACGGAGGGACGTTGGAAACAGACGAAAAGTACGATGGTCGCGAGTGGTGCGGTAATCGGTCTGCTAAAGTTAAGGGGATGGTCACGTGGTGTGTTGGTCGTCGTTGTGCGCACGGTCGGTCGAGTGAAAGAGGAAGGGGGGACGCGGGGGGGAGGGCTACGGGCAGCGGGAGAAGGACGAGGGAACAGGGGGGAGACGCGTTGCATCGGAAAGCCGGAGGTGCACCCGTCAGCAGTCTTACGATGCACTTTGCCCTGCGCGTCTCCGATGCGGTGGCGCACGTGCGACGCGACTCGACGCCGCGCGACGCCGAGTTTTCGTCGCGACGCGCGATCCAGACTACGGGGAACCGCGGCACAATGGCTCGTCGCGGACTATAGTGTTGGTACGCACCGCGTACGAGAGGTTCGCTTCCGGTTCTGTGGCTTCTCGCGGCGCACACACACATACACACACGCGCACACCGATCCGGAATCGGAACCGTAAACCGTTCATCGCTCCGGGAGCCGTATCGGCCTCGCTTTCTTCCCGCACGACGACGACGACGACGACGACAACTTCTCTTTTATAACGATCGATCGCGATCGATCCCGTCGGCCGCGTTCGACGACGAAACGTCGTCGCTTTCCGAAACGGTCGCGGCTCGGTCCGCGGTGCATCGTTTGCGTGCCGTTACGTAACAGTCGCAGCCCGAGTGCCTAGGATGAGTCCCGTTCGGAGCGAGTCCACCGTCCCCTTCCGGCCGCTGGTTTCCCACTGACGTTTCGCATTGTTTCCCTGCTCCGTTTTAATTTGCCCCCGCGGCCACGTGTCGGAATGGCGCTGCCACGTCCGGCCGTCGAGAAAGATCGTTTCAGGACCGACGTCGCGACGACGGGCACACGCGATCGCGCGAAATTCCGCCGATCCAAGGTTCCTCCTTCCTTTTTTTCGGAAGAAATAGTGTATCGGCGGTTTCTACCGTCGATACGTACCCATCGCGGCGCAGCAACGCGACGACCCGACCTTTTGACTCCGGCCTCCGTTCCCCTCCCACCGTTCCCACGTGCCAACGAACTTTCGACGAAAAGTAATCGGCGACCTCCAGCTACACAGTGTGCCGGAAGTCGTAGGAAGATGTCAATTTCCACGGCGTTATCTCGCCGAACGAACCGTCGCCGAATAAGCGGATAGAGCACCGCGGGGTGACAGGTGCACCCGGCGTTTCCCGTCGATCGCTATTTGCCGCACACGATCGGCGGACCAAGCTCGGTAGAAAGTTCCCGAGGAGGACCGAGTTGTTCGCGCGGATGGGAAACTAAGGATATCCAGGAGTACGCGCGCCGTTCGCCGGAAGCCCGACGAGTGAGTATAAAACGTTTCCGTTTCCTTCTTTGTATTTTATCGGTTCCGCGGACGGCCGGCCGGCCGTTTCAGTTTCGTTATCGAAGAGGAAACAGCGATTGTCAATGGTCCTCCTTCTCGTACAACGGATCTTTCGGCGAACCCCCCGTGGAAATCTGTGGCACGCGGATGATCTTTGCACGGGTCTGCTCGAGACGGGTTTCCACCGGAATATTCTTTGCCCGATCGTCGGACGCGATCGAAACGCGTCCGGCGGGCCTTCGGCGTTAAGTGGGTTAATGAATAATCGTTCCGTGCAACGACAAAGCCCCTCTCCCCCTCCCCCTCCTCCCTCCCGCACCCCGGGCGCGGGGACATTTGGCAGCGGCACATAGTCGCGCCTCGGCTGTAGGTGTACGCCAACAAAAGCGTGTGGGTTTATATATAGAAATAGCAGCGACGGAACAGCACCGGAAGCGAAGGAGTTCCGCCCAAGCCTGAAGGGTCACCGCACTTTGAAAACCGAGATCCAAGACCGTATTACGTTCGCCTGCCTGCCGGGATTCCATCTGCCTCTTTCCCACCGGAGTTCGCGATTATCATTTGCCACCGGGGAATTCGTCGATGCATCCCCGGAGGGGGGTGTTTCTTTCAGGATTTTTTCTCTCTCTAACGTTTCGAGTACCGTTGCCGAGTTGTTGCGCGAAGTCAGCCACCGAATCGAGCGTGTCTCGGACGACGGGAAACGGAGGAAAGAGGATGTGTCGAAGTTTCCGAGGCGATATCCCCGTCACGGCGGAAACAATGCAGCCGTTCCGGGGGCAAGTTTTAAGGTCTCCACGGCGCGCGAAGCGTTACCCTCGTTAACGCGGCCGAAGAACGTTTCCTCCGCTAAACGCGTGACTTTATGAATGAAACCACTACCCGTCGCACAGGCAGTTTGTACACGATGCCAGTAGTACTCGCGTTTACTCGCTCGTTCCACGTAGGAAGGAAGTCGCGGGCGAGTTAGTATTGTCCCTCGCAGCGGCGGCGAGCGCCGACCGCGACTGGTCAATTACCCAGACAATAGTTCCCCGGCAGGATGCCGCATTCAAGGAAGTAACTACGTCTGCAGGCCATCTACAGGGTGCTTTTAATCGCGTCGATGTCTAATGTATTATTCATCGTTTAATTAGATACCTTCGAATATCCCGTAACGAGCTCCCTCGGAGGCGTCGCGAAAATCATCGCGCGGCCGAACGATCCGCGACGCGTTCGTTCCGCGCGCGCGTTCCTCTACGCCGCCTTGCTCCGATGGAAAAAGAAAAGAAAAAGGAAAAATTCATTGTTCGAGCCGAAGGGGGGCGGCCGAAAGAGGGTTTCGTCGAGACGGGGCGCGTTCCAAGTGGCTCGAAAACAGTGTCGCGATGGGCCGCGTCCGATCGAATTCTAGGCCGACGACTGGCGAATCTATTTCTACGCGCGTTTCTATTTTCTATTTGCATGCGCCACCGTCGTCACGACAATTTTATACGTCTGCGATATTTTGAGGAGTCGGCGTTGCCCTGCCGCCTCTCCCGGCCCGAAATCCATCGATTCTCGAAAACGCGATCTCCTCGACTTTCTCGATCGACTGCTCGATCCCTCTCGATCATCCTTGGATCTTCCAACGATTATCGGAGATTGTTTAATTCCATTTGATTCAATCGATTCAAAAGCATCGGTAAACACCCATTTTACAATAACAGAACAAATATATAGCAGAACATAGGTCATGATTCTTCTGGACCGAGAAGAGCGTATGTTCACCTCGCATATCAACCCTTTGCATTCGAAGCCATCTTAACTGTAAATCTAAAATAATTTTGTTGACTTACAGTAATTCCATTTTATACGACAAAGTGCATTTTGTGCACACGAAATTGAGTCTCCCGATTT